GCTCCTCATCCCGCTCCTCTCCCTCCTCTCCCACACCCGGCAGTCCCAGGTTTTGATTTCCCATCTCCGGGCAGATCCCAAACCCTGCCAGGAGAGCTCCAGGAGAGCTCTGGAATTCCAGGAGAGCTCCAGGAGAGCTCCAAGAGAGCTCCAGGAGAGCCCTGGAATTCCAGGAGAGCTCCAGGTGAGCTCTGGAATTCCAGGAGAGCTCCAGGAGAGCTCCAAGAGAGCTCCGGGAGAGCCCTGGAATTCCAGGAGAGCTCCAGGTGAGCTCTGGAATTCCAGGAGAGCTCCAGGAGAGCTCCAAGAGAGCTCCGGGAGAGTCCTGGAATTCCAGGAGAGCTCTGGAATTCCAGGAGAGCTCCAGGACAACTCCGGGAGAGCCCTGGAATTCCAGGAGAGCTCTGGGAGAGCTCTGGAACTCCAGGAGAACTCCAAGAGGGCTCTGGGAGAGCTCTGGAATTTCAGGAGAGCTCTGGGAGAGCTCTGGAATTTCAGGAGAGCTCCAGGGGAACTCCAAGAGACCACCAGGAGAGCTCCAAGTGAGATCCAGGAGATCTCCAGGATAGATCCAGGAGAGCTCCAGGAGAATTCCAAGAGATCTCCAGGAGAATTCCGGGAGATCTCCAGGATTGCTCCATCTCCCCCATCCCCACATTTCCTGCTGCTTTCCCCTCCTGCTCCACATTCCCAGATTCCCTGAAATCCTCTCCCCTCCCACCATTCCCTGCTTCCCGCTGCCAGAATTCCTTGTTTTTCCCAGCCCTGGTGGCCACCTGGGATGTCCCTGGGTACCCCTGGAAGGGTGGGAGCTGATCCCGCTCCATCCCTTCCCTTTTCCCAGATCCGGTGGCGCTTTGTCCCTGGATGTCACCGGAGCGGCCACGTGGAGGGATCCCAAATCCCGGGAAAACTTCGGAATGTCCCCGGCAGCAGGGCTGGCTCCGAGGCCACCCATGCTGCCCCAGCTCCTATGGGAATTTGGGATTTTCCATGTGGGAATGCGGCACTCTGGAGGCTCAGCAGGATCCCACATTCCCCCTGGTTTTCCATCTTTTCCCCTGTTCTCCATGGTTTTCCACATTTCCTTGGTTTTCCTTGGTTTTCCTTGGTTTTCCATGTTCTCCATGGTTTTCCATGTTCTCCATGGTTTTCCATGTTTTCCTTGGTTTTCCATGTTCTCCACAGTTTTCCATGTTCTCCATGGCTTTCCATGTTCTCCATGGTTTTCCATGTTCTCCATGGTTTTCCATGTTCTCCACGGTTTTCCATGTTCTCCACGGTTTTCCATGTTTTCCTTGGTTTTCCATGTTCTCCATGGTGTTCCATGTTTTCCTTGGTTTTCCATGTTCTCCACGGTTTTCCATGTTCTCCATGGTTTTCCATGTTCTCCTTGGTTTTCCAGGTTTTCCTTGGTTTTCCATGTTCTCCATGGTTTTCCATGTTCTCCATGGCTTTCCATGTTCTCCACGGTTTTCCATGTTCTCCTTGGTTTTCCAGGTTTTCCTTGGTTTTCCATGTTCTCCACGGTTTTCCATGTTCTCCATGGTTTTCCAGGTTTTCCTTGGTTTTCCATGTTCTCCATGGTTTTCCATGTTCTCCATGGCTTTCCATGTTCTCAATGGTTTTCCATGTTCTCCACGGTTTTCCATGTTTTCCTTGGTTCTCCATGATCTCCATGGATTTCCACGTTCTCCCTGATTTTCCATGCTCAGTTTTCCATTCCTTTTGGTTTTCCAAGCTCTCCCTGTTTTCCATGCCCTCCCTCTTTTTTTAATTCCTTCTGCTTTTCCATGTTTTCCTTGGTTTTCCATGTTCTCCATGGTTTTCCAGGCCCTCCCTGGTTTTTCCGTGCTCTCCATTTCCCCCCTGCTCTCCCTGTTTTCCGCGCCATCCCTGTTTTTCCATTCCCTCTGCTTTTCCATGCCCTTCCCAGTTTTCCAAGCCTTCCCTTGCTCCTCCTTGGAGCCAGGCCCTGCGGGATCAGATCCCAGAATTCCCAGACTGGATCAGCTGGGATTTATTTTATCCTGAGCCTCCAACTGGATTCCCACCCTGGAATTCCCACCCTTGATTCCTGGCGCTTCCAGACCGGTATTCCCAATCCAAGGCTCCTTTTTTGGTGGGAATTCTTGGGAGCAGAGCCAGACCTGCTCCTTTTTCCCACTTTTCCCCCATCCTGGGATTCCTCCTTCCCCCCTCCCAGCAATTCCCAGTTTTCCTGGAGAGGGATTGGGAGCAGCAATCCCGGGAGAAGGATCTGGAGGCCGTTCCAGCTCTGATCCCACAATTCCCATGATTTTTTCAGGGAATTGTAGCGCTCATTCCCACAGATCAAGGAATGGGCTGCAGCCATTCCAGGGAAAACAGGGGATCCATCCTCTTCCCATCCTTTTCTCGGGATGGATCAGCATTCCCAGGATTCGGCTCGGAGCCGCTCTCCTTCCCGAGGAACCGTCAGGGAAAGGGACATTCCCAAATAAAGCTCTGCCGGGTGCTTCCCGCCCCGTTTTCCATGGATCCCAAACAGCCCCTCTGCCCTTCCCGACGCTTTCCCTGCCATTCCAATCCCCTTGGAGCAGCAGATTCCCAGCAGGATGCTCTGGGATCCCCCCTGGGATCCCAAAATCCATGGGCTTGGATGCAGGGAATTGCCCTGGGAGCTCTTCCATGCCTGGGGACGGAATTCCAGCCGATCCTGCCCCGGCTTCCCTGGATCCATGAGGAGGGCGAGGGATGATCCCAGCCTGGAGCTGGGATAAATCCCAAATCCCGGGTCAGAGGGACGATCCCAGTGGATAAAGGATGGAATTCCGAGGTGCCCTGCCCAAATCCCACATCCCAGGCCGGATCCTGTGGGAAGAGCCAGGCTGGAGCCGGGAATGGGGGCGGGAATTGTTCCATGCGGTTGATTCTGTGTTTTGATTCCCATTCCAAGCCTCCATGCGGAGAAGGAAAGGGGGTGAGTGAAACCGAAATTCCCGGGATTCCGATCCAGACTTGGGGGAGATCCCGGCATCCCGAGGCTCGCTGTTCCTGCAGCGTCTCAGGGAATTCAGCCAGAATTTGGGAATTCGGGATCGGCTCCGGTGTCTTGGAGAGGCTCCGGCAGGAACTGGAATGCCTGGAATTGGAATGCCAGGAATTGTGAAGCTGGGAATTGGGACGTCCACTGGGAATTCTGCTGGGCGCAGGCGGAATGCTCCTGTATCCCAAAATTCCCAGCCCTTCCATTCCCAGGTGTGATCCCTGCTCCGGGTTTTCCCCACGGGAATGTCCCGTGTGGGATCCGAAGGAATGACAGTGCCCAGCTTTATCCCAAATCGCCAAAGCCTCTCCTGGCAAATCCAGGGAATTTATCCTGCTACTCCTGGCAGTTCCAGGCAGTTTATCCCGTTATTCCTGGCAAATCCAGGGAATTTATCCTGCTATTCCTGGCCGTTCCAGGCAGTTTATCCCGTTATTCCTGGCAGTTCCAGGAAGTTTATCCATTATTCCTGGCAGTTCCAGGAAGTTTATCCCATTATTCCTGGCAGTTCCAGGCAGTTTTCCCCGTTATTCCTGGCAGTTCCAGGCAGTTTATCCCGTTATTCCTGGCAAATCCAGGGAATTTATCCTGCTATTCCTGGCTGTTCCAGGCAGTTTATCCCGTTATTCCTGGCAAATCCAGGGAATTTATCCTGCTATTCCTGGCAGTTCCAGGAAGTTTATCCCATTATTCCTGGCAGTTCCAGGAAGTTTATCCCATTATTCCTGGCAGTTCCAGGCAGTTTATCCCATTATTCCTGGCAGTTCCAGGCAGTTTATCCCATTATTCCTGGCAGTTCCAGGAAGTTTATCCCATTATTCCTGGCAGTTCCAGGGAGTTGATCCTGTTATTCCTGGCAGTTCCAGGCAGTTTATCCCGTTATCCCTGGCAGTTCCAGGGAGTTTATCCCGTTATTCCTGGCAGTTCCAGGGAGTTTATCCCGTTATTCCTGGCAGTTCCAGGGAGTTTTTCCTGCTATTCCTGGCGGATCCATGTGGATTATCCCACTGTTTCCACCCTGAGGATGTGCCGGGAATGTGGCAAGAGGGCTGCAGAAAAACCGGGAAGTTTTTGGTGGAAGGGTTGGACCTGGGTGGGATTGAAGGTCCCTTCCCACCCAACCCTTCCTGGGATTTTCTGATCCAGGATTTTCTGTCCTGGTGGTTCCCATTCCATGTTCCCCACGGAGCTGGGAATGTGGGATCAGCTCAGGAGGGATCTGTGGAAATTAATCCATGTCCACCTCCTGCCTTTTCCCATATCCCAGGGTTCAGGATTCCAGCTGGAATTCCCAAGGGAATGGATCCACTGGGATACATCCGGGCACAGCTTGCTGTTCCCAAGGGATAAAAGTGCCGGGATGGATCCTGGAGGAAGGAATTCCGGTCCCAGTCCCTATTCCATGAATTTGGACACAGCCATGGTGGCTCTGCCAATATTCCCAATATCTGTGGGCATCGGATCCTGCCCTGGACATGGAAAATTGGGATCATTCAGGGAGTCCATTCCAGCTGGGAATATCCCAGTTTATCCCAAACAAACGCCGGATGTGCTGGAGCCATGCGGATCCCACGGACACCTCCGTGTTCTGGGATTCCCTGGGCTTCCCATCCTCCTGGCAGGACTCGGCTCATCCCAAATACCCAAAATCCGGGATGAACTCGCCGGTTAGTGTCAGGCAGAGAATTCCTTGGAATGTGGGGTGGGACAGCGCCCATGGAATTCCCCGGCTGAGCGGGATCAGCCGCCCCAAATGCACAGAAAACCACCGGCCGGGAAGAGGAGCGGCGGGGACGCTCCCTCCCTTTTTCTGGGATGAGCTTCGGGAAGGGAGCCGTCCCAGGGCTGGGATCCCCGGGATCAGCCGGTTTTCCTTGGATTCCAGAGAAGCTGGACGAGATCCTGGCGGCCACCGAGCCGGCGCTGAGGGCGGAGCTGGTGGAGGCCGATTCCAGGGCGGCCACGGTGAAACAGCGCCCGACCAGC